AGATTGTCAAATTATTCACAAACCATTAGGATTTGCAATGCTATCAGAAACGTACGAGAATGCCATTTAACTACATATTTGCAAGCAATTTTTATGAAAAAATCAGGGGGAATAATTTATAGGGTTCATAAACCCACATAGCAAACTTGATAAATTAACTAATGCTTGAAATTTGCTTACTGTTTTCTGTTTGCCAAAAACAAAAGGGGCTCCAAAATCCCTACTTTTTCAGTATTTACTATCCCCTCCATGTGGGGGTCTACGATGGCCACTGGGAGCCCCAGGACATTTTCCTTGGTGTGGGGAAGGAGGAGCTCAGCGCCACAGTGAATTTACTCACTTTTGAGCAGTGCTGCTCGGTGTGCAAAGTACATTCTCTTATCTGACCCTCACGGAGATCCTGCTTTCATTTTAATGATGAGAATTTTAAGGCTCAAAGGAATTTTAGGACTGGCTCAAAGCATTTAGGTGGAGGAAAACAAAGCTAAAACAAAAACTCAGGGCATTCGCTCCCAAGGGCAAATGCTGTGTCCCCATCAGCGGGCTGGAGAGGGGCCAGGACAAACAGAGGTGCCTAAGAAGATGCTGAATCAACCACCTAAATGCGGAATATGACAACACATGGACTGATGGGCCAGAATCAGCCCCACCTAGACTTGAACCTTGTCTGCACCGCGTACAGTCTCAGGGGTCCTCAGCTAGCTACTCCCCTGCTCTGGGCTTCAGAGAGACTGATTCCATGGGGCCGGACGTGAGGACAGTCCCGCTTGTACAAGGGCCTTCATGCTGAAATCATACTTCGCAGATAGCAGGGGAGTGACGCCAACACCACACCTGGGCTCACTCCTAAATTCTTTAGGGGAGACTGTTACAGCTCAGCCCTACACACTCATTAGTATCTCATTTGAGAGGTCGTGGCCTGAAAACCGGGCAGCTAAAAAGTGTAACATCTGCTGTATTTCTCATAGTAACTAACATTTTCTGTTTTCCAGGGTTAATTTTACAACAGTACGTGGGGACAGTCACTGAGGATTTCCGACAGAGGAATGCACAGCTAGCAATGCCATGCATACTGTGGGGTCTGACACCTTACAAACTTGAAACAAACCATAAACTACAGCAAAATGAAACTTATATGCCTCTATCTCAGCAAGAGAAAAACTCACTTGATTCTTTTAAGTTGGTTCCCACCACTTCATTTATCATTGAGACCTAAAGCTAAGGGAAAATTCCCTTTATCCTTTGCTTTGGATGCTCTGGAGGTATGCACTACAATACACACATTTAAACTCTAATGGGAGTTTTCAAGTTTTTCATTTCTCTGGTAGAAATAGTAACTTTGCAGTAACGACTGCCACCTCGTGGCCAAACATAAAACTTTCACCAGAAAAAAAACAGATTTCACCCATGCTAATGAAGACTTCGGCTGCCAAACACTGGGAATCCCGTGTGGTCACTAAAAGTTTTGGTGTACTGTACAGTTTATATATTTTTCTGGAAAATTATGTTGTTATATGATATATTCACTGGGCTCCAAATCTGTTCCAAGTTAATTTTTTGTCCTACTCTACCACAGCACAATCTAATTGCTGATGAGACCTTTGACTGCTTACGTAGAATCACAGGAATTTCCTTTTTGTACATGAAATTCCCTTGGAGTTGGTACAAGACACTTCTTTATTTGCTTCATCAGTAGCAACTTTGAATGACAGCCACTGCATGACCAGACTGGCCTCACTAAATATAATACCAGTCAACTGCTTGACCCAAAGGTTACCAGCTGGTTAAGATTATCTAACCTAATGTCATAGGAAACCATCCGATCTTTGGCTCAGGCTGAGAAGGCAATCTGAGCGGTAACCAGGCTCTGCTGCTTGACTCACGGTGCTCATGGTGGTATAAATATTTAGGAGGCTGGAGCTTAAAATCCACTCAGGCAGCCAGCATCTTCTACCAGTATCCTCTCAAGCCCTGAGCTGTAACCCCACTCCTCTCCAAGAAAACAGCCGGGTGAGGGCAGGGGAAGGGCTTTATGTTGGCAAAGCGCAGGGGAAAGGGCAGGAAACGGTTTCAAGGCTCCGGCAGGCAGCAGTGTAGGGCAGGAAGAACCGGAGCTCCAGAGCAACCAAGGCCCTGCAGACAGATGGAAAGCCGAGAATCAGGGCAAGGTGGCAGGGCTCCACGGCTGCCAGGAGCCACTGAGGCTGGATGAGGAGGAGGGGTAGGCGCAGGGAGCCCAGACCCTGACAGGAAGGGAGGAGTGCAAGGGGAGAGGGCCTAGGAGTCACTGGCTGCCTCCCCAGTTCCCTCCGATATGCGTGGGCAGCGCGGGAGTGCACGCCGCGCACCTCTTCAACACATCCTCCAGTCTCCCGGCCCCCAGTCAGAGAAATGCAAATTCCAACTTCAAACATAGCATTTTAAAATCTTTCAGATTATCAAAATGACAGCATATCATGACAAGAGGGTGGAGGAAACAGGCCTTCTCACTCAAGCTTTGGGAGTGTGAATCGAGAAAACGTGGCACACAGCCAGTGGTTAAGAAGCCTGCTTGGACTCTGCAGTCAGACTGCCTGCCTTCAAAACCTGCTCTGCCACTTAGGAGCTAAACTTCTTTGTGCCTCAGTTTCCTCATCTGTAAAATGGGGTGATGATTAACAGAACTTACTTCGCAGGGTTATAGTAAGGAGTCAATGAGGTAACAAACACAAAGCACTTAGAAAAATGCCTGACATATAGGCAATAAAGTGTTACTTATCTTTAAACACAATGGGGGTGAGGGGCAATTGGGCTCAATCGAAATGTGAAACGCACACAGCCTTTGACCAAGCACTACTACTTCTAATAACGTATCATATAGAAAATATCAGCACAAGCATGCAAAGATAAAAGTACAAGGAGACTTGCTGCAACACTGATTGAAATAAAAGACTAGGTACACTAAAATATATAGCGATAGAGAACAAGTTAAATTTATTGTGGCATGTTCTTCAAATAGAAAACTATGCAGCCATTAAAATGAGGCATCTAAGTGTGTACAAATATGAAACACTTCCCAAGATATGCTATTATGTTTATTTTTTTAATAAGGTATAGAATCATAGGCAAAATACACTACCATTTGTTTCTTAGATAAATATGTACACATATATATGATGTGTAAAAAAATTCTCTGAAAGGTTACAAATGAAATTAGTAAGAACTCTTTCTTTCAGAGAAAGGGTATGGATATTTGGAGGATGTTTATATTACCTATTATAAGAAATTAGTTTTTTACAGTCAAAAAATGCAATATCTGTCATTCCTCTGTTTCAATTTCTTCCACAACTTTCCATTGCTTCTAGGACTAAAATCCAAACCCCTTAACGCATCCCGCAAGGCTCTTCCTGGCCTGGCCCTGGTCCACCTCTCAGCCTCTGTTCTCACCAGGCCCCTCTACACACCACACGTGCTGAGCTGTCTTTGCACCTTACGTTCATTTCACCACCAGACCTATGTGTGTGCTGTTGACCCCATATAGCATCTTCAGCTTCATTCTCTTTGCCTAACTAATTCTAATTCAGCCTTCTGGTTCCAGCTTAGCTGCTACCTTCCCTAGAAATGTACTGCCAGCATCCCTGCAGGTCAGATGCCCTGATCCTGCCCCCCCCCCGAAACTTTCTATGTCCCTGATGGTGGCATAGTCCAGGGTCATGCCCAGAATGCCTGCTGACAGCAAGAAGATCCTGACACATTTGTGGCAGACCTTCTTGGTGTCTTCTCAGGAACCGTTTTTCCTTTTCACTGATACAAGAAGCCCAGTTTTGGTCTAAATGGGCAGCAGAATGCCCTGTCCCAGGATATGAATCAAAGATGGCGCAACACAATCATGGTATGCCAGCTGATCCTGGCTAGATACTTGTTCTTCCAGCCTCCCTTGCTGCTAAGAGCAGTTGATCCCAGTCTAGGAAATACCTTTTCTCCCTGACAAAAGGACAGTGGCCCATGCAGCCCTTCGGCCTCTGAGCCTTTGGATGATGTCATATCAATGTGTGATATCTAAGGCCACAGCAAATACCCTGAGACCCCAAGGGAAAGACATGCCCAGTATCACTGAGCAAGGAATCCATCCTAGCATTGTTACTACCAGATTTCTCATTATGGGAAACAAGAAAAAAGTTTGTACTAATGAACTAAACCAGCCCTTTCTGTTTATTGTTTAAAACGGGAGTCCCTAACCTTTTTGGCACCAGGGACTGGTTTCATGAAAGACAGTTTTTCCAGAGATGGGGTGGGGGGCCTAGGGGCAAGGCAGGGTAGGGAGGCAGAGTTCAGGCGGTGATGTGCAGCCCTGTTATCCTAACAGGCCATGGACCAATACTGAGCCATGGCCCAGGGGTTGGGGACCATAGGTTTAAACCACTGTTGGTCAAGTATGCCATTAACTGCAGTCAGAAGGAGTCCTAAATGCACACCATTACAAGGAAGACAGATTCAAATCCTAAGACCAGTCCATAGTATCCAGCAAAGTGTCTTCATTTAAGGCTAAGAACAATGCCTTGGGATGTTTCAAATCAAGGTGCCCTCTCTGGGTCCTCTCAGACTCCTCTTCTGAACTCTCGTGTCCAGATCAGAACCAGTCCAGAATTTAGAAGCACAGTCATGGCCAAATTCACCAAGATAATCAGCCGATGACATTTCCTCTATTCTTAGACTTCTGTAACCTTCACTCACCTTCACTTCACCTGACGAAGCTCATGTGTGAAGACCCTTTCTAATTCTAGGACACACAACCCTCAAGGTGATCCTTCCCCAGGACAGCATGAAGGAAGGGGTGAATTCATTAGCTTCAATTTTTCCCAGAGATGGTCAGAAGTCGCCAGTACCTTTATATAACCCTACCTTGGAGGCCCACCCCAAAAAAGTCTCTGCTATTGGACTTTATGAAGTCTTCAACATCTTAGGGTCTCAACTCTTTAAGAAATGAGGACACTGAGGTAGTGAGTGTAAGTCACACTTACAGGGGTCTGAAAGCAGCAGAACAACTGGGTGAGGAAGGGGTGATTGCGGGCCAGAGACAGGATCCTTTTCTCCGTCATTGTACATTCCACATCGTCATCCTGCAGGATCACGTCCTTCTTTAGAATCTTCACGGCATAGAGGTCTCCCGTTTCTTTTATTCTTGCAAGCATCACCTGTGGCGAAGCAAAAGGAGGGAGCGTGAGGGCATTCTCTTGGGTGCTTAAGGCGTGGGCACACAAGAGAAGAGAGCGACCAGCACATGAGACATGTGCATGTGTATACACACACGACATACACATTACATGCTTACTCCCACCCCAGCAGTTAGAGCCCCGACTCACCTTCCCAAAACTCCCCTTCCCCAGCACTCGGATGAACTCGAAGTTGTCAATACCAAGGCGGCTGGAAGAATTCACCCCGATCCCATTTCCTTCTTTGCAGCTCTCCTTTCCCTGTCGCCTTAGGGTCGATCTGGAAACGAGTTTCTGCAAAGAATAAGAATACATTTTGTCAGAAATCAGAGTGTGAGCATGAAGCATCTGCGGATGAAGAAGACCCTTTTGAGCTGGGGACAGTCTCAACCCTCCATATAGTATGTAGGGAAAGATCAATTCTGCTTGGCAGATGACCAGGCTCTGCAACTCAGCTTCTGGTCTGTGCTTACTGCTAGTGGACAAAAATCATTTTAAAAGACATCTAAAGCCATGGAGTTAGTTTGCACTCAAATAGAAGTGTACAGAAACACGAATGTTTTCCTCTGGCCCCGGCCCTGACTTTCTTAAGGGCAGTCAGAGTCCGAGAGCGCCACCTAGCGTTCACTTCTTACAAAGCGGTTTTCACATTTGCTCAAGGATCAAGTAGCACTCAGCACCAGGATGCGAATAAAGCAAACGTTTTTTATGTGGTATTTTAAATTATATAAGAGAAATAAAAATTCAATGTAAAAATTTAAGCAATGGCCAAAAGTATAAAGGATAATATTTAAAATACCTAAAATATCATCCATCCTCTTTAAAATATATATAACACATTGATTGCCACACTAGGAAAAAAATTGTTTTCCCCTGGGGCCACAGTGTTTTATTATGAAAATCGAATAAAAACTTTGAAAACAAAACAATCCTTTCTATTTTAATGAAAAATTTATTTTTGATTGTTTTTCTGTAAGTTACATGCAACTTGAAAAATAGTTCATAAGGGTAAAAGTGAAGAGGCGTGTGAGTTATACACACTTCACGAGGCCCCGGGCTCAAAACTAGCATGAGTTAAATGCAAATCATATGGCAGTTAATGTGTTAATTAACACACATACACATGCTTTTATACTTGGTTAATTTTTTTAAAATGTAATCAAATTGTTATTTCATACCACACATATTTAAAAATTTATCTTTAAATATCTTTCAAGAACATGAGTTTTAATGGCTGTTCAATATTCCATTTTATGGTCATATCATAATTTATTAATTCTCTTGCTGTTGGAAATACAGCTCACCTTCCATTTTCACTAATAAATAACCCCATAGTGAACATAATGCAAATCTTCAAAACAGGATAATTAAGAGTTCAGGCTCTGGGCTGGACACGGTGGCTCATGGCTGTAATCCTAGCACCTTAGGAGGCCAAGGCAGGAGGATTGCTTGAGGCCAGGAGTTTGAGGCCAGCCTGAGCAACATAGCAAGACTCCATCTTTATAAAAAAAAGTTAAAAATTAGCTACGCATCATGGCTTGAGCCTGTAGTCCCAGCTACTCAGAAGGCCATGGCAGGAGGATCACTTGAGCCCAAGAGTTTGAGGTTGCAGTGAGCTATGATGATGCCATTGTACTCTAACCCAGGTGATAGAGTGAGACCCTGTCTCAAAAGATAAAAGAAAAGAAAAAAGTTCAGGCTCTGAAGCAAGCTGTCTGGATTCAAATAACAGCTCTGGAACCTAGCCTGTGACTTTGAGCAAGTTACCTACTCAGCCTTTCCCTGCCTCAGTTTCCTCTCCTGACAACAGAGGGGTTTATAGGATCTACCACATGAGTTACTAGGAGGAGTAAATGAACAAGTACACATAAAGCACTTAGATTGGTGCTAATCTGGCACATTCAATACACTTAGTCTGTGTTGTCATTATCATCATCTATTTCCTTAAGATAACTTCCTGCAAATGGAATTCCTTGTGCTAAAGTGTTAATTTTGAAGACTTCTGACACATAGCCAACTTGCCCTCTATGAAGACTGACCAATTTACACTCCCACCAGCATAGTTCATTCCAGTTTCACCACAGCAAATGAGAAGTATGTGTGGCCGCCTCAATCAACTATCTAACCCCATCCACTGGGTATGTCACCTAAAGACAAGGCGATTTTTTGCAGATGTCCATCTTGAGACATTTATAGCACAAGCTACCACTAGACAACAGATCAAAAGTCTAACATCCTGGAGCTTTTGACCTATTTAGTAAAAAAAAAGCTATTCTAGGGCAATTTCTGGGTAATGTTTGCAATAAACCAACCATGCAACAGCCTGAAACTGCAAAGATCTTACTTACTTTAACCCAATAAAACAGCAATAGCAAGATATAAAATGGATCATCTTAAAAATCCAAAGGTTTTAACAGTTTCTTTCTAGATCCTCATCATAAATCTTTGAAGAATAGAAAAGCTGCGCCAACTTGAATTTCACTTCTTCCACTTAAATACTTCCCCTGCTCAGGCTGGAACTGGCTAGAAAACTCTAAGCCAGTTTCTCATCTTCTTTTAACCTAGTCTTCCCTTTGACAGACTTAAAATTCTCTTTCTTTTAGGTGTTATACTGCCAAGTAGCAGATAATTTTGGCTTTCCTACTATTAAATATAATATTAAAGATACTTGGTTCCAATGACAAGTGACATTGCCCGTTCTTAAAGATTGTGCCACATGGCCCATCCTACTCCCACCATATCTTAGAGGCCCTGGCTCAGGCTGAAATCCTTAATCTCTGCTTTTCAGGAATAGCTGTCCCATACATTAGAAATCCCCTTCACTGTACTAGCACCCTGCCTGCCCACCCTCAAGATAGGCCTGATGGACTTTTCCAGTGCCTTCCTGAAATCAAGAAACACAATTTCAGTAAAAGTCCCCATTCTATTGGGCAGGAAACCTTTCAGTAAAAAGGAAATGAAGTGGCTGCTGCTGACATTTTCTGAATTAAACAAGAACCTCATGCTGATTGCACTTCCCTTCCTTAGTGGCCAGGGATTATTTAACAGTTAAGTCTAGAATTTTCCTGACCCAGACATCAAGCTATACTTTTCAGATGCCACGGCCACAATCCGGGCCATTCCCAGCTCTCTGCAGGTCCTGGCCAGGAAGGCAACAATAAGACACAGGCCCAGGAAGTGACCAGGACCCTAACGGACAACAGCAGGTAGAGGTCATTCGGGGAGGGCGCATGACAAAAACATATCCACGGCAACTGCTACAACTCCACCCACTCCTGAGAGGCCAGAGGAAGGAACTCCTGTCCTTGCTGAATGGAAGAGATAAACTCACAATCCATAAACAAATACTGCAGAACCGTTAGATTCCAAGGCTGCAGAGAACCTGAGAGATCTCCAAGTTGAACCCCTTTAGAGATGAGAGAGCGGAGGCCCAAAGATACTGGTCAACTCTCCCGCCTGGTCCCCAGCCAGGAGCATAATCCAGGCCTCTGGGTTGCAGGCGTTCACCAGAACACACCGACAGGAAGCTGATTAAGAAAAAAAGACCAAATATTCTTCTCCTGCTTAATTCTTGTAATATAACTGTACATAGAATCTTATTTGTGGAACAAACTGCTCTTAAAAATGCAACAAATCTGTTTATTGTATTGGCTGAGAGTAGGAACTTTGATGATGCTCTCATTTGGCCTCACCGCATCTGAACAACCTCTAAATTATGATATATGAAGAAAAGCGAAGTCTCACCGAGGTTGGAGAAATGTTTCCGGGTTGGAGACCCATCCCTGCCAGGGTCTTGGCTAGCTCCACTGCATTTACCCCACAGTTAGGGGCCACGTTTGCTTGACACCGAATGTGTACATTCATTTTACATACTAGAAGGAAGAGGAAAACAGAGTCCATGTTCAGAGAGGATCCAAGCCGACATGTGCTGCAACAGAAAACATTAATAACCTGAAAGATTATGGAAGAGAAATTATACAGGCTGAGCAATGTCATTTTCTCATAAAATTAAACTCACACTCATAACAATGCCTGATATGTTATCTATTTCGATTTTGTACAGAAGCAGAAAGCTTGGCATACTAAAGAATAATAGATTTCAAAGACATGTTTTTCACCGTGACTTGATGAAACGCATTTATCTAAATTACACATAACAGCCGCTGCTGATTTAATATGATCCAATATAAAGATTAAAACGTTCACCATAGTGACAATTCACAGGCAATTAAATAACAAAGAATCTTGTCAACTGTGTTCTTTCCCTTCTATCTTTCAACAGTGAAATAAAAGGTAGCAGTCTAAATGCCATATATAGATCACTGTTCGAACAGGATGGAAATGGTATTTCTAAGAGAAAAACCTCTGCATGAAGCTTTCTTTCTGACTGTTGTTGCGGTTGGGCAGCCCTCCCGGCACAGAGACAGGCATCCTGTGGGGCTGTGGTTCTCAGTGTTTGCAGCCTGTGGTTCTAACTGCTTCACAGAGGGGAGGTGGGGGGAGAGCAGGCAACTTTTAAAGGTTTTTGAAGGTCAGAGTAAAGGGCAGTTGGAGGAGGTGAGCAAAGCTAGCTAAGCTCCTGTCACAGGGGGAGCTGACTTGGGACAGTGAGGGATCTGAGGTGTCATCAGCAGAAATAAATTTGGGGGCAGTCTCTTGACATGGCCCTGCTGATATGAAGTAAATATGAAACAGTGAGCAACAAATTCCTGCTTTATGGAGTCAGTCCATCTTGAAAGCTGGCACAGATCCAGGTTTTGTGGATCTGTGTTTATGAACTTATGTAATTTACGAGGCCCTCTTTAAGAAAAAGAATACCAAATCAATTAGAAGGCTTGGGAAGGTGCCTTGAGAGGGAGAAGTCCTGAGACTGAAGCTTCATTGGCTTCACAGGAGTCTGCCTCTCTTAGGAAGACCAGCACTGAGACACACGGACCTCTAGCGGCTCATGTGTCTTTCAAAACCACTACGTGTGGACAGGCGTGCTTCACGCCAGTAATCCTAGAACTTTGGGAGGCCAAGGCGGGAGGACTGCTTAAGGCCAGCAGTTCGAGACCAGCCTGAGTATGAGCGAGACCCAGTCTCTACAAAAAAGAGAAAAATTAGCCAGGTGTGGTAGTGCAGGCCTGTAGTCCCAGCTACTCGGGAGGCTGAGGCAAGGAGGATCACTTGAACCCAGGAGTTGGAGGTTGCAGTGACCTATGACGATGCCACATCAGTCTAGCCTGGGTGAAAGAGCAAGACCCTATCTCAAAAAAAAAAAAACCAACAAAACCACCACATGACAGTAACAGCAAAAGTTACTGGAGCTGGATCACTACTCAGCCTCCAGGGACAAGAACAGTAGAGACGAGCCCCACGCACAGCTCTGCACATCAGCAACAACTGTACCAGAGCAGACAGGTGCTTTCACGCTGGAAACCCATACCCAGTGACAAGCGAAGGCCAAGCACACCTGAACCAGAGCCCTAAAGGCTATACATGAGCTGGCTGCTGATTTGGTTATATGAAAAAAGAATTAGTAAGTGGTGTTCGATAGGGAGAGAAGAATTTTCGCTTCTTAGAGACAAGTGACTGATCCCTTTTAATTGACAGAAGCAGGTTTGGTAAGTCCAGGCAGTCAACGGAAGTGGTCCGGTTGCACTCATGCCAACTCTCCCTTCCTCATCCTCCTCCTCACTGGTGACTCAGGATGTGTCTGGTAAGGCTTCAGGTGCACGCCACAGCAGCCAGAGCATTCCATCTCAGTGGTCAACAGTGCCCAACTCCTAACAGGACAGGGATCAGCCCTCACCCCCTCAGACTTTGCTAAGGCAAAGGCTCCAAAGTCTGGTCCCACTGGGCATCGTTAGTGAGATGCAAGCCCACGACCGGAGCTTTAGTGTCCTTCCCTCCACCCACGCCTCCAATCTCTATCAGGGCGCTCTTTCGGGAGTCCCAGGGAAGTTCTCTTTATACTGCGACAATTCAATCCTGCTTCATTCTGGTGAGGGTAATCAGACATTGCTCCCATCAGTTCTTACTCTTAATCCAACCTTCTTGTTGGCTCATCTTACCTTCTACCATCTTCCATTCTGGACACCAAGTACGGATCAGGAAGTGTGTATTTTAAATTATATTATATTAAATATTTTAATGCACAATCTAAATTTAATGCATATTTTAATTCACATTAAAATACACACTGCCTGATCTGTACTTGGTAGCTGGCTAGCTAGAAGGATCACTGAACTTAACATTTGACTTAATGTTCTATGGTTAAGAAATCTGGAGACTGGACATAGTTCTCTTTACATGCCTGACATAAAAATATAACACTGCTAAGAAACTAATTTACAACATATGTAAAACTATCAGTCCTAGGTCAGATTCTGAGAATCTGGAATTCCAAAAGCATGTGGCACGGTGTTCCCATGACGAAGTGGGTACCCGGCACCTCAGCGTCTCACTTTTACACTGAAGTCCTTGTCTCATTATCCCCCAGAGCAGCGAGCCACAGTGGTCGCAGAACGTTGGCACTTTGTAGTTGTGGATGCTGAATTTGTGTGGGATGTTGATTCCGAACCTCTGTTCGGCAACCTGTAAAAAAGAAGCAAAGGAATAAGAGCCAAAATTTCATGGCAACATCTTTTGTAAAAAAAAAAAAAAAAAAAAAAAAAAACTGTAATAGGAACCCACCAAATGCAGAGTGTCACTATGACACCGGAGCTGGGTAGATCATTTTACCGCACTCAGCCCTGATTAATTACCGAGGTCTTACTAACCAGGCTGAAGCACATTCTCTAATGGAAAAGACAAGATAAGATAGAGATGTGGGGTGCCTATTGGATCATTCACTCTTTTGGGAGATAAATGAAATTAAGATTTTCATTTCATCTTTTATATTCAGGCTGTATATATCTCTCCTTGCCAATTACCTCATACCCATGTCTATTTCCTAGAACCTTTGACTTCAGAATTAAATAGCTCTTTTATACACTATATACCCTTGCAACCATGACAAGTTCTTCTGCATATCATGTCATGGGGGGGCAGGGGGGGAGAGAAGAAAGCACTCAGAAGACATGGAAGCACAGAAGGAATTCATTCCAAAGTGACAATAAAGTGGCTACTTATTCAGCCCTTTCAGCCTTTGCCTGGCATTTGCATTCTGATAATCTAAGCGCAATGATTCTGCTTCAATCTCATAGTTTCCAGCAAATAATTATCCTAGGCATATGCTCTACAGTCTACATCATGATTTCAAGCAATAAAACAGACCCACATATGATAAGGAGTAGGGCAGTTATTACTCCTCCTGAAACTTTTCTGGACTCTTTCTCATAAAAATTGTGGGTCATACCTCTATGCGTAGCTCTATTATTCTTTAGCGAGCTGTATATATACTGTAAAGAACCACTGAGTTCCACAGTCAGACTTTCCAATGCATCTGCAAATCCACTGCTAATTGTCAGCAATATTCCATCTGCTTTCCACCTCCAGAATCTAAAACGTATGCCTATCGCAGCTGAACGCAATGCGAGTGGCAAGAATGAAGTTCAAGCTCAAACGTGCAGATAAACATCCTCCCTGAAATTTCTTAAGAGGCTGGAGAAGACCAACAGCCTCTTTACTTAGGAAGCACAATTTACACTCAATGACACACTTGTCACATCGATTCTATCTTGTTTAACCCCGACAAAAACTGTGCAAGGTAAGTATTGATCCTGTTTTAAGACCGAGGCAAAGAGAGATGTGGGCCTTGCCTGAGCTCAGAGAGCTGATGGAGGCTGGATTTGACATTCCAATCCAGGCTGTTAGATGCCAAGCTCAGGGTTCTTTTTACTTCACCAAACCTCTCCCCAAATTTGTAGAACTGATCCACATAGCGTATACCCATTTGACTGCTAATGGGGTCCTTGCAAGGAGAGGTCATGCTACACAAGTGCAGAAAGACAAATTTCATAATACCAAAAAAGGAGAGAAATTTCAATTCTATAATAATACCACTGCGCACCATGGGCTCCAAGGAACGTGGGAGGGAAGTTTGGGGGAGCGATCAGGAGGGAGGCAGAGGTGGGGAGGGAGGAAGGGAAAGCACATACACAAACACACACACACACACACACACACACACACACACACACACATTTAATCAGCAAACTGCTATCTTCTTACCTTTGAATCCACTTTGTTAATATTGTTTTGGCAAGTACAGGCTGTAACAATTAGATGATGGCAACGTTTATGGACGACACAGGTGCACACTAGGAAATTAAATCCAGCAATTATACAATTATCAGAGGCTCCCAGTCCAGCCAGTTACAGCAGAGTCAACAAGGGCTGAACCGTACCACCGTGACTGGCCGTGGATGTCTGGCCCACAGGATGGCAACCAGCCCTCCCGTCCTTCCTATTTTCTTTGCTACGATCCTAAGACAGGCCTTTGCTCAGGCTCAAACTACCTGTCATCAAGTCCTGAGCTTATTTCCTCCTTCCTGACTTTACTCCATCCCATACCCACAACCAGAGGACTCTTCCTACAGTATGATTCTGGTCAATTCTGTCTCCTGATCAAAAACCTTCAATGGCGTCTCACTGCCCATCAACAGAGTTCAAATTTCCCAAGCAGGTTTCAGGTCCTCCAGAGGCTACCCCAAGCTACCTGTCACCTTTCTTCTATGGGATTTACTTGTCCCCATAAAAACTGCACTAGCTGCTTTTCCTGGAACAAGTATCCACCCTCCCTATACACTGCCGATGGCCTTCCTTATCTATAGGATACTCTCTTTGCCAATCAACTAAATCTCAAGTTTATGACAAGATGCAACTCAAAAGATGTCTCTTCTGTGAAAATACCCACCCCTAACCCCTTATAGATTGAAACCATCTGGCTCTCCTCTGATCTCCCACACCCTTAGCCCTGCCCCCTTCAAACCTTCCTGCAGGGCCCTCAAAATTCCCACATAATGCCTTGAGCAGAGGCGGCATTCAACAGATATCTGCCCATCTCAATAACCTTTATTTTAATTTCATTTAGATAACTGACATAGCACAGATAAGAGTTGAGCTTGTCAGTCACTAAAGGATAAATGCATACAAGAAGCAGTACTAAAATATACATCATTTTAAGATCTTTCAAGACATGTGGAAGGTTCCAGGCAAAGACAGGTCACATATCAGCAAATAGCACTATATGTGAAAACAAATCTAGCTTTCATCAGATTGAATTCTCAGGAGAACCAAAAGAATGTGCCCAGAGAACTCTTTTTTACATGAGAGGATCTCAAAACCATCCTTCACACAGAAAGACCTTATTTTTTGAGGCACTGAGTTTTTTTCTCAGTTAGCCTGGCTAGAGGCTTATCAAATTGATTTTGGATTTTTCTTCTTTCCTTATATATAAATTTAATGCTATAAATTTCCATCTGAGCACTGCCTTGCTACATCCTACATATTTTTATGAATTATATTTTCATTCCCATTTGGTTCGAAATGTTTTTCATATTCTCTTGAGTCTTCCTCTTTGACTCAGGTGTTACTTTAGAATGTGTTTTTTAATCTTCAAATATTTGGAGGTTTTCCCACTATCTTTCTGTTATTGATTTCTAGTTTAATGTCGTAGTGATCTAAGAAGATACTTTTTATGATTTCTGTTCTTTTAAATTTGTTAAGATGTGTTTTATGGCCCAGAATATGGCCTATGTTGGTAAATGTTCCTTGTGAGCTTGAGAGGAAATGTGATCTACTACTGTTGGATGGAATCATCTATAAACATCAATTTGACCTAGTTGCAATAATGCTGCTTAGATCAACTATATCCCTGCTGATTTTCTGCCTGCTGAATCTATCAATTACCAAGACATTGAAGTCTCCAACTAAAAGACTGGATTTGTCTATTTCTCCTTGTAGTTCTATCAGTTTGTCTCACCATATTTTGATGCTTGCTGTTAGGTACACACATGTTAAAGATTGTTATGTCTTCCTGGAAAACTGGCCCCTTCATTATTGCCTCTCTTTATCCCTGATAATTTTCCTTGCTCTGAAGTCTGCTTTGTCTGAAATATCTAGTTTGCTTCGGATCAGTGTTAGCAAGGTGTACCTCTCTCCAACCAGGCATTTGGTTTATATCCCTTAGGAAGATGTCAACAGCGAGGTGTCTTCCTATCCCCTGGCTAATAGTCTTGCCAGTTCTTTAAAACACAGGCGACCAATTGAAAATCAGGCCATCAAATACCCTGGCAGTACAGGCCAAAGAGGAAAACAAGTAACAGAGATACATTATAAATTGCACTATTTTAAACTCAAAACTGTAATCTTGCCATTCCGATGTTGAGTTTCTCAGCGTTTCCTGGTGTGTGTAAAATGGGGCCGAGGGCGCTGCAGGGCACAGTGCTGTGCTGGGGCGGCCCGGCCAACAAGCGACACTGATCCTGGCTTGGGAACTGTCCTCTCGTTTGGGGCTGAGATTAATCACATACAGGTCAATTACTGCTATCCTAGGGATTATATATTCATTTTTTTCTAACTCTGAGAACTCAATGGAATTGTTCATACACATTAAAGTCAAAATTAGATCTAAGAGTATGTCTGATTCAGTTTTTCTCCTCCAAGAGAGAAGGTGGGATTTCCTTATGTACATGCAGGGTACCACACTAAGATATGTAGCACCATTTTATCCATCGCCTTCAGAGGGGAAATCAAGACGACAGGTACTATCTGTATAGACCATGTGACAATGCTCAACCTGGAGATAAGGGGCCCAATAAAGGCAAGCCCCACGGGGTCTGGCTAAACCACCTCGGTAAGGGGTCTCCTTGTCTCCTTTTACTCCTTCCATTGTATTTTATTCCAGTCCTGCCATAACACCAGTAAAGTGGTTTCATCTTAGAACTGTGAAAATTACGATAAATTTAATATGTAATAACTTACAAGATCATTAACAGCTTAACTTTGAACATTTCTCACTTCTTTTATTGAAATCAGAAAAATTTTTAAAATACTTGCATAATAGCTTCTATTCCCTAAGCAGGTACAGAAAACAGCATTGTGCTACTTTTCACGCCTGCTGACAATGGGATTGTAAACAAAGAAAATTTACCTTCAACATTTAAGGGTATGTTCACAAAATGGCATTACCTTTCAGTACCTTCATGCTACTGCAGAGACAAAACTTTAAGCAATGAAAACTTTATTAGGTACCCTGGCTTTAGAAATAAAAGCATACCCTTTACACTGTCTAAAATATAGCCAAGATCGAACCAAAACTAAAGAACTGCAACTATATGGGGTTTTCCTCTGACCTACAGAGTTATTTATCATAGTATTAATGGAATGTGTCCTGTTTCCTCTTGGTCTGATCATGTTTTTTAAACATAGGAACAAGATTAAACACAGTTTTAATAATGTTTTCTTACCTTGGCATTGATAACCCTGCTTCCCGAATACTCCCCTGTTGAAGACAATAAAGAATAAAAACTACCATCAGTCAAGTATTTCAGCAATAACACTCCTACAGTCCCCTAGGGAAAACAAACTTTATCCTCTACTCCTTTATGAACGACACAATTTCAGGTTAGAAGCAGAGATGATGTGCTTTTCGAGCCCTTGTTTGTCACCATGAGACACAAGGAAAATTATCTGATGGATCAGACGGCTCCAGGTGATGTAAGTGGGTGGGGGGTGATGACGCCCATCCCACCTACTGCTAGGGCAATGTTCTGAGTCCTCAATAGAATTATAAGCCTCATGTGACTGAGCCTCAGCCTGAAGTTACTCTACCACCTTATTCTCTCTCTCTTACACACACACACACACACACACACACACACACACACAAAGATGTACAGACACGAAGCAGGTACAGACACACGTACAGAAGCACACAGATGAGTCTACGCAGCACCCATCCTTGTCCCTGTGTCCACATCATCCCCAGAGTCCGCAGCCAGGCAGAGGTGCTGCCACAAGATGCTCCTTGGGTCCTCAGCTTCCCCCTCTGTCTCTCCCACATATGTTCTATGGGCTATAGTGATATTATTCTCATTAACAAACGCCACATTAACTATGCTTGTAGGATGTGTTAGGCACTGGGCCAAGCAGCTGATCCATACTATCTCATTTAATCCGCACAAAAAGCCCTGGCAGGCGGCACACATAGTAACAAGGTTAAGATCACTGGCTCTGAAGCCAGAGGGCCTGAGGCTTTGAGCTAGTTTCCTCCTCTTTAAAAGGCAATAATAACAACAGTAGCTACTTCACAAAGTTGGCATGAAGGTAAAAAAAAATTTGATAATGTAAAATGTTTAGAATAATGCTTGACATTTTAAAATGCATGTAACGGTTTATTATATAAGTAAAATAAAATTGTTGTCTCTATTTGGCAAACAAGGAGGCACTGACAGGTTATATAACTCGACTAAGTCACACACCCAGTTGGTGATGAGACTGAACGTCTGCGTCCATACTCTTAACTATATATATGAGATACATAAATCAGTATTTTAAGTGAGACAGTGTGTGTGTGTGTATCAGGGTTCAAGGCTGGTGGGGTGGGGCTGTTTCCTTGCTGGGAAAAATTCAGTAAAATTATCAAATGAGTTTCCATTATGAGTGTTAGTTGAGGTCAGAGGTTGTCACTACAACTGCCTACAGGGGCCAGGCAGGTCCCATAAAAGAGGGAAGCAGAATGGTGTGACATGAAATAAAGTGCAACAGGCAGGTATGACGGCCCCAAGTCAGGCAAACCAGAGAGAGAGGTGGGACTGTGGCTAACCAAAGAGTTCAGACTGCTGCGAAGAGGGGACATGGGCTCAAAGATGCCAGAGCTGTTGATTTTTTCAATTAAAAAAGTAACAGGAATTTTTTCCCACAGACTATAAATGGTATGACACATATCAAACAGCCAGTTTAGGGCCTCAAGTCTCTCTTCTTAATTAAAGATGCCAGAAACACCAACCCTAGATTCTGACTGCTAAAAGGTACAAAATCAGCCAGGTGCGGTAACTCAACACCTGTAATCCTAGCACTTTGGGAGGCCAAGGCAGAGGATCTCTTGAGCTCAAGAGTTCAAGACCAGCCCGAGCAAGAGAAAGACCCCATCTCTGCTAAAAATAGAAAAACTAGCCAGGCGTGGTGGCATGTGCCTATAGTCCCAGCTACTCGGGAGGCTGAGGCAGGAGGACTGCTTGAGTACAGGAGTTTGAGGTTGCTGTGAGCTATGATGATGTCACAGTACTCTACCCTGGGGGACAATGCAAGATTCTGTCTCAAAAAAAGAAAAGAAGAAGAAGAAGAAGAAGAAAAAGATATAGAAGAAGAAGAAAATCCAAAGTAAATACAGAAAACAAAATATAAAGTAATTGATCAATACTCAGAAATTACTTTGAATCAGCCTTCATTAAACGAAACGATTAAAGTTTGCAACAAAAACAAAGATCTCTTTTCATGCTACTAAACTTTTTTTCTCCTTCTCAGATGAGTGTATGCATGCATGTGTGTGAAGTGATATTTCTTTCTTCTTTCCAAACAAATATGCTTTATGTTGCCATGAATTGAAAATAACTGTTGCTTAAATTTATTTTACATTTTAGATTTGCCACCGAGACTGAGACCTAAACTTCAGTTGTATGCCTAGTAAGATATCGCCCCAAATCTCTAGAGTTTTTCTACTTTTAATTATATCAGTTCCTAATTGCCAAGGATTATAGTATATGATCTCTGAAGCCTGTTACATTCCTCTACACCATGAGGCTGAATACTAGTACGTGCTTAGTTTCTTGTAACAACTAATTTCCATAAGTTATCATGTGATTCATGCCTTCTTAAAATAACACTGTTGATTTTTCTTTCATCCCCAGGGGCTGATTATCTAATTTATTGATTATTTATTGAGAGATTAGCTTCTTTCTCTGATTTATGTTATGCTTTTTGATCAGTCATGATTCATTAGCACCATTACCAAAATGATTAGAAAAGAATAATATCTAAACCTTGGATCTGTAAATTTTTTTTTTTTTGTCAGCAAGCAAAAGTCTTATTATGTTTATTATGTTCTATTTAACTGTAAATTATTTAGATTTTCTTTTTTGGCAATATGGATTAAAATTAATGGGTCAACATATTATAATAAGAGAAAAAAAACAGATCCTAAAATAATTGTTAATAATCATGCTTTCTCCTGAGGTTACACATAACCAGAGTAAAGCCCCTATTAGAAAGAGGCTCTAGCAGGCGAGAAGGCAGGGAACCTCTTACCAGATGAACTCTCTGCAGTGAGAGCAGTAGGTGGGCTGCCTCAGGTATGTGGCCATGAACTTGTGTCCGTTGATCTGGTGGACTCGCCTTCGCATAGCCCTTTGGCGCTTCCTGGTAAAATGTTTGAAGATTCGGTCTCTCTGGAGAGTAGCTGTATACGAAAAGGAAGGAAAAAAGAATACTATGTAATGAATTTATAGCTGCACCTCATATGTGAGAAAGTTTGGTAGTTGAAATACTCCCCCAATTTTTTCTTCTTTAAGATATAAACCACCTCCCCCAAATCATCATGCTTTCTTAATGACCTTATTAGGACGCTTACTTTGGGGATTTGTGTTTTCGTTTTTTGAGACAGGGTCTTGCTGTGTCACCTGGGCTGGAGTACAGTGGCATCATTACCATAGCTCACTGCAACCTCAAATTCCTGTGCTCAAGTGATGCCCCTACATCAGCCTCCCTCATAGCTGGGACTATGAGTCTCACTATGTTGCTCAGGCTGGTCTCGAACTCCTGGCCTCAAGCGATCCTCCCACCTCAGCCTCCCAAAGTGCTGGGATTATAGTGTGAGTCAACACACATGGCCTGGGACTCTTAACTTTTTCAGGTTAGACCTATGTAAACCCCTGAGATGCTCACTGGCTATATCATGGGCCAATCTCTGTAGCACAGACCATGGGTGTTCCAGGGTTCTGATGCTCGAGGATGTGGTATCAGTTTGACCTCCCTGTCTAGCTGTCTGGGACCTCAGGCCTATCTATGGGCTATCACCGCTGGACAGCGTTTCTCATTATTCTCCTTTAATTCTGGTGTCCCACAACCTAAATGAAGGAACTGCCTATAGCACAGACTGTGAGAGCCCTGCCCAAAAGCAATCAGTACAGAACCACCTCTGTTAACCTGGAATAGGTAGAAATTAACCTGAAATAGGTACAAAGTTCCTTTTCTAACCTCATATTTTTAAAACAGTGTCTTCTAATCCGAAAACTCTGAAAGTTTCACCATTATGTCTTCCAAATAATTATACTAGAATTTCTCCAATGTATGCAGAGACTTGTGACTAATAAAAATAAAGCTCGCTTCCTCGATATTGCTTTCATCGCTGATAACAAGAAAATTTAAGAAATCACGCAAGAATAATTTGCTAATATATTTTAGAACTTGGAAGAAATAGATTTCTAAGATGATTTCAGGTATGTGTTAAGAAGGAAATTATAGAAAAATAAGAAAACACAGAAAAATATTATACTCCTGGGATAGGATGAGGATAATAACACTCTAAAGCTATAAAATGTTCACAGATTTGCAACTTAAGAAATTGAAAGCTCTAGTTGGTAAAAGACACAAAGCAGAAAGTTGAAAGAAACAAACTGGAGGAAAAACAATTTGCAACATGTGACAAAGGAACATGTATGATATGTAGAAATCAATAAGGAAAAACAGATGGACAATCCAGTAAAAATGGGGCAGAGGTTGTGAATAGGCAATTTGTAAAACTGTAGATACAAACAGCCAATAAATGTGCCAAGATGTCCAAGTCTATTCAAGATGGACACATAAGAACCAGAAGCTACATCACATTTTACCTCTTTAATTGGTAAATACTTAAGAGGATTGCTAAAGTGTCCATTTCAAGGAGGTCAAACAGGCACCCCCATTCTGTTGATATAAACAGAGCTCTAGTCCTGGCCTGCCACCCTGCTGTTTTTCTTGCAAAGCCTAAGGGTTTCCATCTAGAAACCAGGTAGTACCACCCTCCTAGGGTTTTTCCAAGGACTGGATCAGGCAACACATTCCAAGTACTTAGCAAAAAGCTATACACGCTGCAGCATTCAAAAAAAAAAAAATGTAGCTATTTCAAGAATACTTTTTTGGAGACCAAATGACAATACCTGTCAACGTTTTAAATGTGTATGTCCTTTTCAGCAGCAATTCAACTTCTAGAAATTTATTTTCTGAAAAAATGCCAGTAAGCAAGAATGTAGGCTATAGAGCTACCAACTGCTACATTCTTTTTAACAGCAAATATTAGAGTCTACACAAGAAATCTCAAAGAACGAAATGCAGAAATAGCCAAAGTGAATTTGGCTAAGGCACCAATGTCTTCAGAGGCCCTAGCACTGCTAAAATTGTACATGTTGCAGTTTTTGTTTTGGAGTGTGCATAATCTTTGGCAAGCTGCCTAATTACTTTCATTCTCAGGTTTCCCATCTGTCTCAAGAAGATAAAATACACCCCTGACCTCAGCCCTATGAGGCTAGTGTCACAGTCAACATTCCTGACAAGTTCTTAAAACCTTGGATAACGATTGCATACGAACAGAAGTTACTATACTACATGGTTCTCTTCCACCATACTTTCAGAGATCATTTGGTAAGCACAAAGTGAACAGATTTTAATGTTCCTTTGTTAGGAGATGATAAAATTAGGCTAATGGAATCACCTTTTATTACCAGCCTGAGACCCAGCTTAATACTGGCCAAAGCAAAACTTGTATTGAATTACATAACACTTATCATTCCTAGATGCAAATTAAATTCTCCCTGGGGGTCTAATTGCCAAGAACTTACTTCTTTAATCTCTTAATACTATAAAGATTGGTTAAAAGGCCAGCTCACTTGCATTTTTAATATTTCATGAATTGAATCCTATTTTTCTTTTCCTCGGTAGCTTTTGCCGCAGCAGTAGCATGACCTATGAATTTTCCAGTCCATTCCTCATAACCAGAGGATTTAAGAAAAAGCTGCTCGTAGCTGTCCACCACGCCAGGCATATAGTGCCACCTTTGCTCTTGCTTTTGGCCGTTTCTGGAACAGCCTTCCCTCTTTAGTAATTTAGACTAAATTACTAGCTTAGACTAGTAATTTAGACTTTATCTGTCTGCCTCAGAACCTGAGTGGCCTCCCCCAAATCCTGACACCAGGTGAAATGCTCCTCCCTTCTGGTTCCACAGCAGCCTGGGAGGGCACCTCAGTCACGACCTGGGGACTGTGTCTCTTTCCCCTCTGTCCCAGGTGCCTCCCATGCATCTCAAACCTGGTCATGGACAAACTTCAATTTTCCCTTTTCTGTATTCTTTTGCACGTGTGCCTCTTTCTTTTAAAAAAGCAAACACATGTAGTCACACACACACACACACACACACAGACACCTGGAAATGTGTAAGACATGTGATCACATAAGAACTCTGGGGACCCCATGGCTTGCAATGGCTTTCACCATCACCACTCTCTGGACTGATGCCATGAAGAGGAAGAAAGGGCTCTCCAACTGCTCTGTTCACCTGCCTACAAACCCCACTTCACAATCCGTGGAAGGAGCTTCCTCATTGTTTGCACCCGCCTCCTGTTCACTTAAGACCGAGTCAAAAGGATTAAAAAAAAAAAAAAAAAAACCAAACTCTTGAATCCTTTTGTGCCTTAAACCAATCAGGGCTTTGAGAAATCTCTCAGATCGTACTTTTGTCAGACATGTCAGGCAACCCTAACTTGCTTTGCAGCCAAAACTTGCATCACCACTTCTGTCTGGCTGCTGAGGTGCCCAGTGCCTCTAAGTAAATAGGAAGCTGGCTCTGTGCCCCAGCACGGAAATTCACATTCCATTCTCCAGAGCTGGGGGCAGGCCTGGAGCCCGCATCTGTCTCACCGGGGGTTGGTTTTGAAAAGCCATCTGTGGACAGGGTGCAGAGTAATTATGTCAAGTACGATGAAGATTAACTATTCTGAACTAAAATTCTATCTCCTCAAACCTGACTGTCATCCCACATGCTCACTTTGAGAACTTTAGAATGTGCAAGTGACTAGGAGTCACCAAACAACTGGGGTGGGGGCAGTTTTCACAGTAAGTCACGCTGGTCTGAAACCTGTGTTGGTTATGTGAGGCTTTTGCGGAGGAGGAGTATATCTCAGAAGCTTCTGTAAAAGTGTCTTAACTTTATCTCAAGAAGTAGAAAATACTTCACCCTCTTTAGTTTTTTGCTCTACCTGTCTGAATTTAAAGTTTTATGTTCTAGCAGCAAAAATATGTATTCGAAAGTACTTCTAAAACATTCCAATGTGGAGCAAAACCATGGATACTAACTCCTGATTTTCAAGTGATTGTAAGCAAACTAAATAAGAGAGAAAAAAAATTTATAGCATGGTACTTTTTAGTTTCCAGAATTACTGACATAAAATTGATAAAGGAAATAACTTTGATTCAGTATAAAATATGACTTAACTCTTAAGTTGAATGTGCCTAATAGCAAAGGTGCTGTGGTTCACTAAGACCTGTGGCTTGTTGTTAAAGGGTTATGCTGAGGAGGCTGAACAGCCTTTCTACACAACAATGGACAGGAGAGTGCGGCTGCTGAGGGCATGGGATCTGGAGCCCAGGGTGTGAATGCTGCTTCTCCCCCTGAGAAGCTGGGTGACCTTGGGCAAGCTGTTTAACATCCTATGCCTCAGTTTCCTCATCCATAGAATCTAAGGAGTATGTTCCTCACAGGGCCATTTTGAGGACTCGATGAGTTTGACATGGAAAATGTCGGGCACCAGGACATGACCGCTTGCAGCCTCTCTGTGGTTCTGCATGACCCCGGCCGGTGAGTTGGAGGACACACTGCTGGGGCCAGCCCCATGGTAGAGCCGCAGGGCTCGCTGTACAGCTGCTGGGCCCCACGTGCTGGAATGCCATCAAGCCCTTGTGCAGCCATCAGGCCCACGTGCTGATGTCTGCTGTCTGGGCTGCACTGAGGGCTCTGCCGCCTCCGTCATCCGGCTGCGCTGCTCGCATGATCCTGATTGGGTAATTTTTGAATCCCACTGTTGCTGATTGGATGTTAAAACTTGTTGCTGATTGGATGTTAAAGCTTGATGTTGATTGGACGGTTTTTGAGCCCTACCAAAGGTATAAAAGCAGGTGGAGAACAAGGAAGGGGGGAGAAGATCAGAAGACGAGAAGAGAGCGCTAACACTGGCTGGGTTGAGCCTGCCGGAAGAATAAAGGCTGCTCCCTGACTCTTCCTGTGCTGCTTGGTTCTTTCCCCGGTCAAGAGATGTAACACTAGCTGTATACTTGCCACAACAAGTTAAAGTCAATAAAGATGACATAATTAGAAAAGTACCTGGCAGGTAGTAACTGTTACCTATTATATTAATAATTGCTGTTAAATCC